GGGGAAGGTGTGTGTGTGCGGTCCTGGTGTCCAACCCCTCCGTGCGCTGTGCGGGCAGCAGCCCGAGCGTCCGAGGGGAGAGCGGGCCGGGAGGGGCTCAGGCAAACCAGCCCTCGGTGACGGGAGGAGAGGAGCCATGTCCTCGGGCGCTGCTATTTATAGCGGCGTGCTCCGGTGCTCGCCATTCCTTTGGCACTGGGTGTGGGAACTGTGCGCAAACAACCGCCCTGTCAGTAACTCAGGCCTGGGCTCTGACGCATGGACGAGAGATCCTGGTGGATTATTGTGTTGACGTCTCTGCTGTGGAAGGAAAGGCCACCAGCACCTTTTATTATTGGGTCAGCTTCCTGACTGAAACCTTGTGTCATTTCTTCCCAGCAACGAGCCGTTTGTCAGAAACAGCAGAACATTTTCCACTGCAGGCTCAAACTGATCCCTTGGCTGATGCACTTATGTTTTAATGGTGCTGTGAGGAGTTAGAGCAGTAGTGTGTCCCTTATTTTTCATTTATTTTTCTCTCATGGTGTTGCACATGCTTTTTCTCTTTGCTGGTGCATGCTTCCTTTGCTTTTGCTCTCCCTCAGTGCTTCCCTTGATCAGACCTCCTGTGGTCCAGCTCCATGTTCCATCTAGAATACACCTTACTCAGGGTAGAAGAGAAAACTGGAAAACAAGAGCCCTGATGAAGAACTTTTTTCATCAGGTGCTCATTCTGTGCTTTCAGATACATTGGGCTTTACTTGAGTTAGCAGTCATAAAAAAAATTGAGTTGCTCTAAAGCCACCGTGATAGAGCTAGTTCTGCCTTGTGGGCGTAGATGTACCACGAATGATCTCTCAGGATCCCTTCCAGCCTTATGTAGTACTCTATGACATCACTCTGTTAAAGCCATCATATTTATGGGCACAAAAGGCAGGGTAATAACTCATAGCCAAACAAAAAGTGACACTGAAAGCTGACAGACCAGGCGTCTGAGCATTCAGCTCCTCTCAGTTGTCAGCAAGTTCTTCCTTATGCTGTAGACAGCCCACCCTCGGGCTGCCTGTGGTCACCTACCTGCAGAGCATGCAGGGATGCTCTTGATATTCTTTGAAGCAGCCTGTGCCCCAAATCACATATGTCCCAAAGGCACACTTAGCTGAGAACATTAGTGCATTCATCCCCAGGACATGGCCTGGTCGCTCCCAGCCTGCTCTCTTCCTGGCAGGCTTGAGAGAGAAATCACAAAAGCAGTCACATAGCCTACTTTTACATCTACTCATGTCATTTTCCCTGGGCTTTGTATTCATTTGGACACAGGAGTTTCTTGATAGGAAATGACAAGTGGCTGTTGGAGGTATGATGGTTTGTGGTAAGCATTCACTGAGAACTAATGGCACATCTGTGCTTCCACTCCACTGATACATTAAGAGGCAGTAGCCTCTCCCTGGGAAAAGGCCTGTTTTGGACACTTCATTCCTTGCTAATTTGTTAAAACATTCTGCTTTGAGCAGAAGTGAAACAAAGTTAAAATATTCCTCTTGGGGCTTCACAGATGTGAAGGCTTTATTGCTTGCTAAATATTTTCTGCAAGGTAGCAGGTTAAAAGAAGAAATCACTGGGAGCATAAACAAATTACAAGATGTCTCTTTGCCTTTCCTCTTCATCAGAACAGCTGGAATTGAGGAATCCTTGGATTTCAGACCAGCTTCTGAGGGACTTTGTGCTCTTAGTAGAGCTCTGCATCTAAAAGTACTTTGTGCATGGTCCAGGTACCTCAACTTCCAATGCTGTCTTTTAAGGAGTTAAAAAATTTTTGTCCTTGATGAGCATGAGCTTTCAAAACCCTGTCATGTATACTCACACTGCAGGTGTATTATCACCTTCCTTTCTGTCTCTTGTGCTCTTTATCATAAACCACAGCACTTGAGTGCAACTCAGGGGATGATCTTCTGGTGACAGCAGCAGTGCCTTAGGGATGCACTTGGGATGTTTGGCTGGGACCAAACTGGTGAAGCAGAGTAGCAAAATGTCCTTGGGGAAAATTTTGTATCATCTTCTCAGTGCTGCTAATATAGTTTTAACCCAAAAGTGTCAAAATCATGTGGAAAACAACTGGTTGTTTCATACACGTTCTGTGCCTTGGGAACTGCATTTGGATGGTATTTTGCAAAGAGACCAAGAAATGTCTTGTACAGTACATTTTCAGAGCTACTTAATAAGCAGTTTGAGTGAGGGGAGTCCTGGGACATTGGCAGGATGTCCCAGGTCCCTTTTGCTGCATTCAGGCTATTTTATTAGCCGTATTGAGTAATTAAGCAGGAGTATCTACCCCAGAGAGTCAGTTAAGCAAGAGTTGGGTCCCGAAGACTGTTGGACTTTATATTTTAAATCCTGATGATAGTCATAGTGTGTGTGGCCATCTATGTGTTTCCTAGCTTCCAAGCCACAGAGGTTTATGGCTTCAAGCTTTATCTTCTACCACTGAGCTCTAGATACTTGCTTGATGGTTTTTTTTAAAGCACCAAGGAAAGCCATGAAGATAGCTGAGTCGAGGAAATGGCAATTGAAAGGAAACCATCCTACAACAGTCTGGTGAACCATAAGCATTTGCAGAACCATAATATCCCCTTTCTTAGTCACCCTGTACAAGTGAAATTCTTTTCCCACAGCCCTCACATCACAGCTGTCACTGTACCAAGTTTGAGTTCTCCCCTTTTGACTTTTAGAGTTTTGGGGAACATTCAGTCCACGTGTGTTTGCATGACACTGGACCAGTGTTTGTGGTGTTGATCTGTCAGGGACACATCCTCTGCACAGGGCAGTGCCCATGTCATACACAGGAGCCCTTGGAGCAGCTGTCACAGTGTGGATGCTCCCTTGGGTGCTTCCTGCCCGCTCCCCCCACTGTGACCACCTCTCCCACAGCCACTCAAGTCAGACCTTCTCAAAATACTTACCTGCCCAGCACTGAACTCCTGGTGCCTCTGCAAAAACATGTTGCCATAGGCTTCTAGTTTCATAGTACGTTAAGGGGTTGGAACAGACCTTAGAGATCATCTAGTCCCAACCCCCTGCCCTGGGCAGGGACACCTACCACCACACCAGGTTGCTTAAGCTTATGCAGCTTATGGGAATCCTGCAGGATTGGATCCCTCAGTGGATGTGGGTCTGAAATCTGTCCTGTCCCGTGGTGGGGACGTACCAGATGGCAGCACATTGTTAAATCATTTGCTGCACTCTAATCTCCAGCCTGCAGAAGCCGAGTACATTGATCCTATACTTTCTAAACTAAGCTTAATGTTTTATTGTCTGCCCAGCGTAGCTCACAGAACAGCAAGCTCCAATTTTACTGTGGACAATCGCAAGCTCCAAAAGAGGGAATCATTGTTGGTAGAAAGTGCAGGTTCTGTGGAATTCTCCTCTGTCATTTCGTTCTAGATGACATTATAAAGCGCCACAGGAAAGAGCAAACAGATGCCAGTGCCGCAGGCGACAGCAGAAGGCAGCAGGTCAAGAACAGGAGCTCAGCCTACGGATACGGGCGGCCCCGTTATCGTGCCTGGAAGCAGAGGAATTTGCAAGGTAGATCGGCACTTAAGAGGGCAGAGGCCTGCCGAGCTGGAAAATGCATCTCTGTAACAAAACATAGCTCTTAAATCCTTCTCCTGTTTAATTTCTGTGTGTGCACAAAATGTATTCTGGCTCTGAATAGCTTTTCTCTCTGCAACAATGGAATATCAGGGCCCTTTCAGAGCAAAATTCGTCCATTTCTCTCTCTTCCACTCTCTCGTGAATTACTAATTTAAAGTGACTTAATATCTATTCTCTATTCCCCTTGGCTTTGCATATTTTAATTATGCCTCTTCCTAATCCTCATTTTCCCAGAGCAGACTTAAATTACCCAAATTACCCCTTCAGTAACTGTCTTTGATAGCTCAGTTATTGAAGCTAATGTGTCACTTTTGCCAAGCATGCTATTTTTATGGCGAGGTTTTTTATAATACTGAGTGATCACACTGTTTTGTTCCACGTGTTTTTACCTGCAAAACCAAAGTGATCTACTGCATGAAATGCCATCTCTATTAATTATTTTTTTAATTGCTGCTAAATCACTTCCTTGAAGATTTTAGTGACATTTTGCAGCAATATCTTTGCAATCTTGGAGTGCTAGTGGTACATCAGGACAGTGGGAGCAACCCTGCTTGTCTCTGATCTGCCTCCCACTCTTATGTTCTTGTTCTCCAACACATATTGCCTTACTGAGGATCATTCCAGTTCGAAATACAATGATGATAATTGCCCTTTGCAAATTGATTTTTCTGTCAAAACACACAGGCTTTGATACTCTTTCACACTCAAGCCACTGCTGCATCCAGAGTCATGTAAATCAAACAAAAAAAAATGTCCCTGTTCCTTAGAGGGGAGAACTTTTCTGTTCATTTATAGAATTATTTCTGCTAGTCTTAATATGTCATAGGTTTTCCCTGAGCCTGAATTCAGCCCTGCCAAATGCAGAAACCCACCATGCTGTGTGGTGCTGATGTCAGGAGCAAGTTGGGGAAGCTCAGCACAACTGGGAATTTAGCCCATAATTCTCCAGGGGCTCAGTTCTCTTTGGTCCCTGCTGAAATGCAGTTCCCCCTGGGCTGCAATGTGATAACCATTATCAAAATGATGATCTGAGGAGCCCAGCACTGTAATGACAGAGGAGGGAGAAGGGTATTATGCTGATTAAACCAGCAAGCAAAGTGCTGTTATCCCTTCTGGAATATGGCTTAAACCATCTCCCCAGTGGGGGAAAGATGGTTTTTAATGACAAGAAATTTGAATTTCAAATCTCCTTAGAAAAAGAGTCTGCCAGACATGGGGACTTCTCCCTAGAATGGACTTGCTGAGCCGAGGTGCCTCTTGGACAGCTCAGGTGTGCTCACCACCAGGCTCTGAACATGCACCCAAACAGTGCAGGTGTGGTGCGGATTTAGATTTTTCCCCAGCTGCTGATGCTGTGAGATTTTGTTCAAATTGTCTTTCATTATTAAATATCTGCCAGACTTTTTGCAGAGATGGAGCCTCCCATGTGTCACACTTCAGGACACACATGGCAGACCAAGGCCTTGGTCCCCAGCTGGTGCACATGGGGTTCCCCTTGGAGGCTGATGGCTGTCACGGGTTATTTATGTTGGCTGAGGCATGCCTGAGCACACTGGTGAGCAGAGACTCTCTAATAGGAAAAGACTGACAGGGGAATTTTGAGTCAGGATTTTCTAGTCAGGGCTGCCTTTTGCATCAGTCCTGGTGGAATAGCTAGGAAAGGCAGCTGAGCTCAGTCTCTTGCTGCAGAGGAGGTGCCCTCTCTCCAGGGTGCAGAAGAGCTGTGTTGCAAGGCTTGGTGGCCTGCAGGAGAGCAGTCTGGCAAATAGGCAAAAGATAGGGGCAAGCCCAGCGTGGTTGAAGAGAACAAGACAGGGCAAAAACAAACTGGAGAGACAGAAGCAGGAGGAAAAAATCAAAGCTCTCTTAAACACAGCAAGTCCGCATTCGGTTAAACACTTTGCCAAAATTCAATGTTTGTCAAGAGGAACATTTACACACCTGCACTTCTGCAGCAAGAGGGTATCATAGAATCATAGAATCATCATGGTTGGAAGAGACCTTTAAAATCATCAAGTCCAATCATTGACCTGTCACTGTTGTAACCCATAAACCCTAAACCGTATCTTCCAGCACCAGATCCAGATACCTCTTAAATACTTGTAGGGATGGTGACTCCACCACCTCCCTGGGCAACCTATTCCAGTGCCTGACCGCCCTAACAGGGAAAACATTTTTCCTAATATCTAATCTGAATCTCCCCTGTCTCAGCTTATGACCCTTCCGTCTAGTCCTCTCACTGCAGGCATGGCAGGACAGACCATCCCCCACCTCTCTGTAACCCCCTTTCAGATAGTTGCAGAGAGTAGTGAGAGCTGTAGTGTAGTGATGAGGCCACGCCTGAGCTGCCTCTTCTCAAGACTAATCATCTGCAAAGGCAATAACTACTGGCCCTACAGAGCTGGTAACCCACATTGCATTTTTGTGTGTGTTCCCAACCAGCACCTCTGGCTATAGGGCACAAAGCATCCCAACATACTGTTTGGGAGCTCTTTCTCACGGGCATGTCCTGGTGTCCATTTATTTTAGAGCTAGAGCACCTCAAATCATTTTTGCACAAGTTCCAGTATGCTGGTGCCAGCAGGTGTTGCATCCTGGGGCTGGAGCCTTCATTCATCGTGGTGGTGGTGGCCCCTGACAGCAGTGTCAGTGCTGCCTCAAAACACTTCGTTTCTAATTGTTCCAAGTCAGTATAAATTGCTGTGCTGTAACAATAGATGGTGTAAGATCAATACGTGCTTCTCACTGCTCTGTGGTTTGTATCAGTGAGGTTCTGCTTTATGCTCCAGGTTTAGAGTGCACTCTCGCTGCCCTCTGTCACATGCCTGATTTGGGGAAATTATGTGCTTTGTGCCTGACTTATGCACCCATGAGTGTGCACATCTCACTGCTACAGTGGCTGTTGGGAGGAGTGGCTTAAATACAGGAGGGTTCTAAGAATGCTCAAGGGACCTTACAGCTGAGCATAGCAAAGTCTGAAGTAGCAATGTAGAAAAACATTTATTGTGTCTACTACTGTATCTGTGTCAAAAGGCTTTTCCCGTTTCACAGTTAATTCATAGCAGTGTGAGCTCTGACAACAGATTGACAGGTCTCCTGGTATGGGTGTTCCTGCCTTTATGGAGAATCAGAATTGTGGAAGGCTTTTCTCTTCTCTATTCTTTCAAATCAAATTATGTGTATGCCAGTCCTACATGGAATAAAAATGTTAGTGAGACATTGGGGAGATAAATTACTTAATGTTATGCAAAATTAATTTCATTTTCTGGAATGGATTAATGTGATTCTTGTGATCCATTTGCAAAACTGTAATCATAAATGGAATTCTGAAGGATGCTAAAATAAGAGGGTTGTTTTTGTAGGACCTAACCGTTTTAGAAGAGGGTTTGGACAGCAACAATACAACCGGAGGCAATTCAGGAATGCTATGGCTGGTTCCAAGAGAAGAGCAGCTGCCACGTTCCATGGAGTGAGCCCTTTAAATCGCCAGGCATCAGCTCAAGAGGTAAGGGAATTAGGAAGGTACAGCTTTTCCCAGATGTCGTGTAGAAATCTGCTTGATTTCATGGTCTTGGATCACCCCAAAGAACAATCTACATAAAAAGTTACAGGCACCATCTTTTATATGCCTGTGCACAGCATTTGTATGCATAGGTGAGTACAGACATACATGCATATGGAATAGCAATTTTCTAGTTGGTTTTATAAGCTTCTGACTTTGCATAATTTTACTAAATCAGTTCCCATGGGTTTTAGAAAAAGAAGATTTTTTTAAAATGTGTTCTTAAAAGATTTAAAAATATTTCCATAAAACCGAATTCCACATCATCTCATCTTACTATTACCATTTAGAGGTAGTGTGTTAATATCCACCATTATTTGTTCTCCACCCAGAGCATTTCCCAGGTTCCTGTGAAGACAAAGGACAGGCTCTTGGTGACTTGTCAGGTGGCTTTGGTTCAGACACATTAGTAAATGGGCAGCCCCCACCAGAGACACTGATTCCCGGGGCTGTGACAGATAGGCCTCTGTGGGAGGCGATTTTTTTCCACACTGGTGGAAATCCACTCAATTAGGAGGTCATGGCTGCTCAGTAAGCCTTTTAAAAGAAACCCAAGTGGCAAACATGATGGCACATGTAGTGGCTGTGTCCTGGGGGTATAAATAAGAGAGCCCCAAACTGAGCATGTATATGCATGGAGTGTGGTTATTCCTGAAAATAAAGACCAGAATGACTCAGATATTGAGTGTGGCTGGGTATTTACAGGAAGGAATAAGCAGTTGCTAGGAGGCATAATTCTACAGTAGCTTCCACATTGCAGAAATAAACCAACAGGGAAGAACATGGAAACACACCTCAGTTAGTGGATAATAACACTGAAGGTGGTTTTCCCACAGAAATAAATGGACTAAAGCCAGAAGTAGTTTATGTAAGGAACCACAGAAAGACAGACACTGCTGAGGAGTCTTCTGATGTGCTTCATGCTTCAGGGCTTGGTCTGGGCAATGCACATGTCCGAACAAGAAAGGGTCAGTGACCAGTAAGAAACCTGAGCAAAGCTATAATGCTTGACTTCTGCAAGATTTGCTCTTCATGGACCGATTTTCTTATATTTCTGCCCTGTTAGAACAAAATGTTCTTCCTGACACTTGTAGTTTCCTGCCCAGGAACCAAGGCACACTGACTGATTGTCAACTGCAGTGTATGTTAAGTGAGGCAGCAGCAGGCAGAGGAGAGGACAGTTGTTGTCACTCACACTCACTCCCTGTTTATGTACTGAGACTATGGCACAGGTGGCAACTGCTGAGCTCTCACTGCTCTTTCAGGGCAACAAGAACAGAACTGCTTTTGCCAAAAACAGGAGTGGGCAGCAGGAGGAACAGCCACAGCCATCTCCAGGCCCCAACAGATTCAGAGCAGATGCTGCCAGCATCCGCGCCCCAGGGAGAAGGTAAAGTCTTTGGTAACTCTGTTTTTCTTTTGGTTTTCAGTCATTGTGTGCAGCTCATGGGGTTCTGCTCTAGGTGTGTGCCAGCTGGGAAAGGGTACAGCCATGTGTTTATGTAGAATGAGAAAAATACCCCTGGGTATGTTAAGAAACCACCTGGAAAGAAAACAACCTCATGCTCATAGTTAATAATACAGATATTAGATCTGTTCCTTGATTTTAGGAAGCATGGAAAATGTGACCTTTGTATGTTTAATAAACTTTTTCACTGTTGTTTTAGGGACCACTTTTGAAGGTGAAATAGCATTTATTTTCATAAAGGCAGGAAATGCAGATTTCATCCTTAAGGGATAGGCAGAGAGAGGGAGTCTGTCTCGGTGAGGAGCTGCAGAAGCAGACTGTGCCCCAGGAGCTCCAGTTGCTTGCAATCCCGTCTTTTTCTGCTCTGAGCAGAGCAGGGACTGAATGCCATCCAGAGGTCCCTTCTGACCTGTTTTTTTTTCTGTGATTTTCTTCCATGATTTTTTGTTTTTAATGCACAGACAAGCTGTTGTCTCATTTGAGCAGAAAATCAAGTTTCTCTGAAGTCCTTTGCTGGCAGAAAAGCCTGTTGGGCTGAACTGGGTAACACACAGCCTCATTTGCTCTTCATGCTGCTTTTTAAGACCACCCTGGGTTAGGTATTTTGGCATTAAACCTTAGGAGGGACCTGGCATTATCTTCACCTCTGTTCTTTTTCTGTCTCCTTTACCAACAGGCCTTTCAGGCTAAACAGAGGCCCAGTGTTCCAGCAGAAGCAGTGGTTCGCCAAAGCTCGCTTTCAGAGAGGGGTGAGTATCAAGACACTTCCTCTGATAGTGACAAGCCTTCAGTGTAACCAGTCTTTGCCCAGTTGTATCTTTTTTTCCAAAAGTAACTGGAAGAGGTGGAATGCCTTGAACAGTGCATATATTGCTAGGAAAGTATTTGCAGAACAGGCAGTTTTTAATGCAGCTTAGTATTCTGGCAGCTGGAAAGTAAATCCTGGGAGGGTGCTAAAAGTAAACCTTGCGGCTTATAGAGCAGCACAAGGAGGGCAGCCCATACGGATCACTGTGCTCACGGGAAACCCCGAATTAGCAAGTTTCTTGACAATTTGCAAGGAAGGAGCCTTTGAGATACACCAAATGAAACCCTGGAAAAGGAATTATTGTTTATGAGAGCTAACTCTTTAAGTAATGTTTTAAAAAATATATTTCACAGCAGATGGATGCTCGTGGAGAAGGGAAACCGCCAAGGATGAGAAGGTAATCGGTGAACAAAGGCAAAGTGCAAACACGACGTGCTCTTTCACCCATGAAGCTGGATAAATCTCCCTGTCTCGGCAGGTGGCAAGGGAAAACGAGCCCGGGAGCAATTCTGACGGTTTCTGTGGTTAATCCCCAGGCGGGCCAGACCAGCGCGTAAGTAAATGAGGTGATTTGTCAGGGTGGGAGCTCTACAAAAGCCATTGCAAATCCCTTTAGCGTTGTTTCAGCATCATTTCTATAAGGAGTGTGCAGTGAATGGTTCAGACCCAAAATGGTTAGCAGATGATGTCTAGTTCCCTTCCTGGCATATCTGAAGGAGATAAAAATCTCCTGTATTTACCTGTAATTACGCAGTAATCTGTAATTACCGTGCTGCTCCTTTGTTATGCATAGTGAGGAGAAATGGAAGCCTGGAACTCGTGGGAGGTGCTGAGCTGGAGTTGGTGGGCTGGCTGCGCTCCTTGTGGGGTGTCTGGGGTGAGGGGGGAACACCATGTGCCCCAAAGGGACACTCTGGTCTTGCTGTGTAAAAGGCACAGAGGCTGGAAGGGGACAGCTTCCGCCCTGAGCTGAGCTGGTGCAGCTGCAGGATCTGGCACAGAGAGAGGGGTGGGTGAGGAACTGTGCATGTCCTGGGTGCAGAGGGCACCCCATAATAGCCTGGATGTGACACAGTCCCCGGTG